TCTCTTAATTCTGGTGAAATACTAGAAAGTCCCAATGATTAGCAAAATCTTGTAGGATGTCTACTATATATTTGTTCTACCCATCCAGAGAAAATGTTCGCTATAAGCTATCTCTCAAGATTCAAACAAAGACCAAGTCAACTTCACATGGTTGTTGCTAAAGGGGTTATCAGATATGTGAGAGGTATAACCTATCGTAGAATAAAGTTCATCAAAAACAAACTATTGAGGTTTTTTGGATTTTCAAATAGTGACTAAGGTGGCTGTAATGATGATGGTAGAAGCACATCAGGATACATATTTTCTCTTGGAAATGGTCCTTTTTCATTGAACTCTCACAAGCAGAATACAGTAGCGCAATCCTCATCTGAGGCAAAATATGTGTCAATAGCTGAAGTTTCAAATCAAGCAATTAGGCTAAGGAAAATTCTACATGATCTTGGTATGGATCAAACAAATTCTACAAAGTTGTTTGTTGATAGCAAATCAGCAATCTCCATGACCAAGAATCTTGTATTTCATCGAGGAATCAATGCAACAACATCAAGTACCATGCCCTCAAAGATGTAGAAGAGAAAGGGACGATACTTGTGCAATATTGCAAATAAGAAGACTAGGTTGCTAACATTATGACTAAGTCTCAACCTAAGTCGAGGTTTGAACTTAACAAAAATAAGTTGATGATTCAAGTTGCAAGCATTAAGGGAGAGTGTTATTGACAATACTAGCAACAAGTTAAGTTTGTCAGCTGAAAATGATATCATGACTTGTACACGGAAGTTGAAAACATGTTGTTGTGTTATACTATTTTTATCATGTCTTTACTTGTAATATCTTTTACATAACTACCAAGTAACTAATAGGCTGTATATTTTCAAGATTATGAATGAACTGTGTGTGCATTTCTTTTGAATACCAATACTCTTTACATCTCTGTTCAACCCAACTTAAAACAAAAGCTTCCTAATATGAGCCATGTTCTATTCCTAATATGAGCCATATTCTATTCTTCATAATTTAACATGGAGAACAATATCATCATACAAAAGATTAGCAGTTAATGGAAAGAATTAATTGTTAAGAACTTTGTCACGAAAGCCAAGTCACCACTATAGGTACACTTGAGTAAGGTCAAATGAAGACTGCGAGAAGGATTCTCGATCCCTGCATTATAATATTTCTTTTTTTCTTTCAAGTTTATGAAGAAGATAAATAATCGGAGGTTTCTAAAAGCATGTAATAAATTATTCATTCTAGCTGGAAAAATTTCACACATGTGACTTTATGGAAAGAAAATATATAACCTTTAAGCAAAGTTAAAAATATAGGATATGGTATCACCTGCAGGGAAGTTTGGTGATTCTCATGACTATTAACCCACATTTGCATAAACATTAAGCTAAAACTATTAGTACAACAATGTGCTTTCAAAATAAAATTATTATTCTTTACGTACACTAACTAGTGAAGAAATTTAAAGACTCCGAACATGAATTTGCATTTAAATACTAATATGTTAACTTATCGATTCCTTATTTATAATTAAGTGGATATTTGTCAATTATATAAACTCTTAAAAACTTTAAAATTGATATATGAACCTGGCACACTCGGTTCAACTACTGACTGAAATTCAGCTCCTTCAAGGGCTAGGGAAGTGGAAGCTTAAAACCGAAATTGAGAGGTAAAAATGCTAATTCATGCCAAAGATGGCCTGTATGTAATCTCAGCAACTTCATAGAGAAAGCGAGAGAGATGGATGAAGAACCTGGATTCATTTCTTGTTAACTTGCTACTGAATGAGACTCGTCTTGTGATGATTTCTGGCCACTATTGCCATATGCTGATATGCCAACTGAGCTAACAATTATGTAATGGTGGATGAAACTTTAATCCTATAAAGACACAACTATGAAAATGATTATAATATTGAATCGCGTCAAGGTAAAACATACCTTGAGTGATGACGTTCTTATTCTAGGAATATGAATAAAAGCATTACTTGAGGCAGAGGGTTTCTCTTGCTTCAAGCCTTCAATATCCCTTACCCCTTACCCCAGGCATATCCCTTGCCCTTTACGATGTTTGATTTTCAATTAAACTATTTAAATCTCTTTTGCAATTAGTCTTCCTAATTAATTATATATATCCTCTTTGTTGTCATTTAAACCTTAATCCAAACAACATTAGTAGTGGAGTATGATCAAATTAATCAAGAAAAAAATTAGATCGACGGCATATAATTAAGAAATTCAAAATAAGGAAAAAAAACATAAAGAATACTAACAATACATGTGGTTCAGGAAACTGTTTTTTGTGTCCGTAAGAACTATAGATATCCCATTTTGTCCGGAATCATACTTGTAAATTTCATAAATAAGTAAGATTGAGGTCATTTGCTTTATAATTAACTCAAATTTTAGTTTTAAACTTTTTGGACTCTTTTTAAATTGGATTGGTTATGAGATTAATAGGCCTTGAGTTTAATGATCCAAATTTGAAATATTTTGGAAAATATAAAAAAACATAATAATATAATATAACAATAAATAATAAAAATAGAAAATGAAAAAAGAGGGAAGAGGGGAAGAAGAAATTGAGGTTGATTGGCGAAAAGATATAGAGGTTTAGGGTTTTCAATTTTGTATTGATCCTTTATGAACATAGGAGGTGTTTTTGAGAAATTCATTCTGATTAAATGAAAGAGAAGAAGCACCAGAGCATTTGGGTCATTGGTTCATGCACTATCCCCTGCTTAAAGATTAAAGTTCGAATCCTTCCTCTCTCAATTATAAAAAAAAAAATGAAAGATAAGAAGAGATAGGTTTATTTTTTGAGTGACAAAAGATGTTGGTGAGCAACTTCTTTTTATGCAAAAATCTTAATTTATGAAATCATTTCTTTAAAAAAATTACTATCAAGGGATAATAAAAATTATAAAATGTAAAAAATTTTAATTAGTTAAATTATATAATTAAAAATAATTTTTTAGAATAAATCTTTTAAGATGGAGGGTCTTGGAAGTTGTAGGTGGTAATTTTTAAGAATTTTTTTAAGTGGAAATAATTATGAGACCTTACCAAAAGTGTTGGAGGAAATTTAAAAAATTATGTTTACAAGGAATATTATCTCTAGATAATTACAAAAATGTACATATACAAAACGAATATGTAGTAATTAAAATATTTAGTAATTTACAAATTGCATCATGATAATTATTACTTGCACCACATGCATTTGATTTTAATTATACAAATAAATAGAAATCAACCAATGATGAAATTTTCTTGAAAAATTTTAGGTGAGAAAACTTTTTTTAAATTTTATCAAAAGTGTTGGAGTAGAATAATTTTCAATATCAAGGGTTTCACATTACAAAAAAAGAAACATAAAATAATTAATTAATAAATAAAAATATATGAAAATTATGGGATTATAGAATTTTAAGAAAGTTGTAAGTTGTAATTGGCAACTCTTTTTAGAATTTCTAAGTGAAGAAATTTCTAAAATTCTATTAGAAAAAGATGGAGAATTTGGGAAAAAATTAAATTGAATATCAAAAGGTTTCCATTTATTTTTAAGAAAAACTAAAAAGATATAAAAAATAATAAAAAGAAAGAAAGAAGAAAAGATTTAATCGAAATTCTCACATAAAATATCAAATTATCAAAAATCTCTTTAAAAAAAAGTGATTTTCTTGAATATTTCTTATGTGACAAGACTCTCCTTAATTTTCACAAAAAATGTTGAAAAAATTATCTTAGAAAAAACTTATAATATTTAAATAATAAGTGAAAAAATTGAAACTAAGGAAAAGAAAAAAAAATATGACCACCTGAAGCAATATAAAGGCTAAATGCTTAAATTAGGATTAAAAATTTGAGCACTTTTTCACTTAAGGGTCAAACGTTTTCAATTCCTTACAATTAATGATCAAGTTGATAGGTGGATGGAACATATATCACACACGACATAAATCGCATTAAAAATTGTAATTGTTAGATGCCATATTAAAAAATGTAAGTAGGGAGACCATAGACCAATTAATTAGCCAAATGCTCAAGTGCATGTTGAAGATATAGTTATTGCATAGTATATTAAAATTATAATTGTTACATACTATGTTAAAGATTTAGTTATTATATATCTTGTTGAAAATTTTAGTTGTTACACGCCATGTCATAATTTGAACCGTTTTGACTTAATGGAAAAGATTTTCCGACAAACTTATTCTTTTGTATTTTATACTTTCAAGTCAACGTCCACAACATACACGTATCCTGCATGCGCCAAACATCTTTTACCTTAGTACTTAATTATAAGGAATCGAAAATATTTAGCTCTTGATTATTACAATTAAAACATTTGATCCTAAATTGACAAAAATCCAAAAATTTGAAATCCAAATTGAACAATTACTCCAATATAAACCATATAAGTTTTGATTAGCCTAGCTCTAACCTCTAGGGTAAAAGCACTTTATCAAGCATTGACAGTTTAATTTAGTGAATCAGCCGAATTAATTGAATCTTGAATATATTTAATCAAATCAGATTGTTAAAGAAATAAATTACATTTTTTTAAAAAAATTGTTAAATAATTCAGTATTTTCGAGCTTGTTAAATAATTTACTATTTTCGAGTTTCAAAATACCAACAAAGAAAATCATTAACAAAGTGTTCTTAGGTTTGTTGGGCTAACGGAAAGGGGAAATCTTGGGTTCAAAATTTAGACGAAAAACCATGGAAGGATTAAAGTGATGGATGTATATAAAGCCCACAGCACAGCATGGTTCAAGATTCCGGAAATTTTGCCAGGGAATAGAATAGTTGCTGCACGTAGACGTCGTAGAGTCGCTAATACCTGGAAGAAGAGCTATTATATATTAATGACTGGCATTGGAAATTAAAGCTGAAATCTTACATCAAATGATTCTGAGACTATGGTATATTCCTCATAATATTTTGCCTCTGCAAGAATTTTAATAATTTGGCCCCTTGACCTCTTGCTCAGCCCATCTGCATTTAAATCCTTGTGAAGCCGGTGAAAACACCTCGGAAAATTCTTCAAAATCCAACTCTGCTGAGGAAGATCATTCGTGTATAATGAATACGTTTTCTTTTTATTATGGGGAATATGTATCAGCATCCGTCAGGGTGGGTGTTTTTACAAGGTAGAGGAATCTAATGCTGCAGGCATTGACATAAGCTGAGCACATCTGATATGGCAGCTCTGCCAGCCCTAGTTAACTCATAACGTGACTTCTGTTTCATCACAAAGTACTTGTCCATTTATTCATGCGGTTGACTGAAGTGCTCTCGTCAAGGATAAAACACCAGCCATCACTTCTTTTCTCTTTCATTCCTTCTCAAACTCAAAAAGAAAGCAGGAAAAAGAGCATCTTTTTCTTATAAATAAATGAAGAAACATCCTAAAGATGTAAAACAGGTGGAAGTAATATCAAGTATACCTGCTCAACTGGTGAAGCAACTCAAGAGCTTTTGACAGTTTTGTTCTAAACCTCCTCACGTCAAGCTTGACGTTCTGTTTGTCCAAATATGTTGACCTTACTGCGTCCCATCCCTGTTTATGAACTGACAAAGGGTCCTTGATAATCACATGATCCAGATGGTACTTACTGCTCAGAGAGCTCTCTTTTGTCTTTATTTTATACTCCAAGTACCTCAAGTTCATATCTACCGCAGGTTCTCCAAAGTATCCTCTAGCCAGCCCATCAATAGACCCTAAGGGAAGTATTTGAATTAGAATTGCATTGTCAGGAAGGAAGAGCATGTTGGTTAGTCCAGCTCCATGGATGCCCATTAATACATCACAAGAGTTCACTATTTGAGCAACACTGCACAAGCTGGTCGAAATATTAGGCTCTGCAGTAACTACAGTATAGCCCAAGCTTGCTGCCATTCTAGTTATTTTGCCCATATTTGTGAATGTTCGAGACCTTCTTCTGGTTATGATCAATAGCCGAGGCCTTTTACCCACATCATCTCCTATTCTGATTGCGTTTCTCCTCTTCAACGAGTAGGTGCTTCTCAGGAACTGCCTGAAATCTTTCATGGATAGCTGGTCTTGGGACTTGGGTTGATCAATACCAAGTTCCTTGTGATATTTAAGGCCGACCATTATGCTTGGGTAGCAATGGCCATTTTCATCACTATCAAGGTTAATAATGTCATATCTAGATAACTTTCTGAGTATTCCTTTGAACTTGGTGATCCACCAAAGTCTATTATCTGTCACAAGAAACTGCACTTCTCCATCAAACTGTTTGGAAGTTATATATAGTGGAATCACCAGGTCACTGAAGTCATGGAAGTGGTTTCCTGAAAATCCTCCAAGGGAGAAAAGGATGGCGGGAACACTGTGAATCAGGTCACAGTCAAGAAACTCACTTGGATCTGACACTGAAGTTACTGACCAATTCTTAACAAGATCCATTGCAGCTGCGTTTTCTTTTTGTACGTATGGCTTTACAACCCATGAAATCTGTCCTGTTGGAGTGCCCATTTGTAATGAAACAATGGAAATGGTAGAGGAATTCCCCTGAACTCTAATGTCCCCATTGATTTCACAAAAATTGGATATTGGTTCCCATGCACTGCACATCGGCTTGATATTCTCAGATGTGCTCTCTGCAACTTCAAAATCAAAATTTAAATGAAAAACAAAAAAATCCTTCATTTTGGGGCAATGGAAAGTTTTAGAAAATGACAATTTAAGTCATATATACATACAATTTTCAAAAAAAAAAAGTCATATATACATAGCATGGAGTTTCTAATAAACAATGCAGGGTTTTTGTTGCCATAAAAATTTCAATGACTAGATTGAATTGGGACAATGGAGTTTCATGTCTGGATGTTTCAAGTTTCTGGCATACGTAATTTCTGAGAAAAGCTCGTACCCTTGAACATTGAAATTTGATTTCCAGCATCAATGGAAGACTGCAAACTCACTGCAACATGGATGAAAGTGAAGATCAGTGAAAAGAAAACAAAATTCAATGACTACCGAACGCTACACATAAGTCGATTTCAGCATGATATTTTTGGATGCTATCATGCTGCAATTGCAAATTTCCATTCTGATTTCAGTAGAATATAAAAACAGGAGTATAAAGCATGTCTGATAAATAGTATAAAAAATTATGACAGACGAATAATACTCAAGCAGACTCAAAGTGAAGTCAGAGATTGAAACTTATCAAACTCTTTCACATCCTTTGCCCTGAGCATTGGCTCCAATAATTGAAAGAACAATTTTCTATCAGTAATCCTAGTATCATATCTCAACCTGGCACAAGATGCCATGCATTCATTTCTAAAAAGTTAACAATGTTTTCTTCCCATTTTGGCCTAATTAATGTTGATGCTACTTGATTAAGCCACACTTACCTTCAACATTAGGTATGCATACTATCAAATACACATTCAGCCAAATTCTAAGAGGACGTGAACTTACAGAGAGAGAGTTGGCAGAAATAAGACTTGAACAGTATCGAAATGCTGCATGCCATAAATAAGCTTCCAACAAATGCTCCACATGCCAACCTCTTCAGTTTGTACCAACTAATGCTGCGGGAGAATATCCTGTAATTGTACATTTTGCTCACTACTCAGTCCTTTATGTCAATACTCTCATTTAAACCAACCAAAAACAGAAGCTCTGTCATCGTTAAGCAATAGTAGGGAGATAAATCTCAAAGGAAACTTGTTTGATTCAGAGTTGCTTTTCACATAGTTAGGATCTGGTGAAAGAGACAAGTGCAGATGATTGTGGAGACAGTCATCATTTCGTTTCATTGATGTTTGCTTCGCAGGCTATTTTTTGTCATGAAAGTTAACTGCCGGCCATACTCATTTCAACCTTGATAGCAACGAGCCAACTAAAGTTGTTAACAATTTTAATTGATACAATTAATGTGGTTGCTGATATTACTAAATAACAATGAGAATAAAGTACTTGAGCCCACCAATGTTTAAGCCTTTTATTTTAAGATAATTCAACGTAGATAAACATCAAGAGAATCATCTTCACAAACTAGGGGGAAAGAGCCAATTGTTTGATGACTCAACCTGGCAGCTGGAGTAACGGGTTCAAGTTGCAAGATCTTCCCTCAACTAGCGATCAGACCCTCGTTGGACACTTTAAGGTAGCAGCTTGTTGGCTTAAGAGATCAAAGAAGGAAGCAATATTTGATATTTAGTTTATTTAAAACTTGGAGTTTGAAACTGCAACGCACAATGCCTTCAAATAATGTTTGCCTCAGTCAGGATTTGACGCAGTGATGCAAGACTACAATACCATAGCATTGGACATGATAAACGGGGACTAACCATCTGGTAATTTAGCTATGGAACTTGTAGAAATGAAGCCACGACGAGTTGTGATTGTTAGTTACTTTATATACCCTCTGCATCTTGGTTTACAACATTTCTCTTTCAGCAGGACTCCGTCCAGCATTTGAGGAGAATGCATGATCACAATTTGCGCCACACACAGGCCACAAGGTACCTCTAGGCACTAGCGCTCATAGAAACCATTGCACATTATAACAATGCAGGAACAGATTCAAAATCCTCCTTTTGTTTTCTTTGTCATTTGATGTGTTTGATGTCCAAATGAGATGTTAAATAGGGGAGCAGTAGGAAATAAGCAAGCAAGAAAGAAAATCAGATCAGAGATCTCAGCAAATTATCATCACTGCATACTTGTAGCATCTTAAAATAAATGGAAGTACTAAACCCAACCAGTGTCTGTCACCAACCCAAAGTACAGGGTAGAAAAACTTCTCTTGCACCTCTAGGTAATTCATTATGACATTGAAATTTAAGTTTGAAAAAGTGGCACCCCTTCCTACATTGACATCCAAACTGAGTATGAGCAAGCCAGTATTTGATCTGCAAAAATGATCAAGCAGTTGGGAAGGTAATGCCTGCTGCATTGAAGAGAAAAAGTTACCCTTAACAAGAAACTATGGCATATCTACGGACAGCGACACAAAATTGGGCAATTGAGCAATGGTTTATCGCAGCCAGAAACCAATGTTGACTTTACATGAAATGCTCTCTCCATTTCCAGGGAAATTGAAAAGAGACATCCATAAAAAATGACAGACTTCCAACTGTAAAATGCAAGCAGAAAGAAAAGAGCATCAATAAGCAAATTGCAACAAAAGCAGGTGCCACAACTTGCCACATGGGATTGATGCGGGAATTAAGAAAACTCAGTTAATCGTGCAGCCAATGAAAGCTTTCTAAAATCTTGAAAGAATGAAGAAAAATAATGATAAATGAAATAAGCAAAATGAACCTATTCTCTGAGTTCATGTCATTCTTATTTGTTTAATCTCAATTCTTCATACTTTCTGAAATTCAGACAAATTTTGGTGGAGTAGGATAAAACTAGCTCAACAATCTTAAATTTATTGAAATTTGGTTTCCCATGGATGAGCAACATGGTATGCCGAAAACTTGTCCACTATTGTAAGGAGAATCAGTTTGGGTGTCTGAGGGCATGCACAGTAACATCAGGCAGAGTCAAGAATTCAGAGTATCACAAGAAAAGCCCGACCAACCGAAAGAGTGCAAGAGAAGCTTCAGAACTAAGGTGAAATAACTTGCCAAATGCCATATATCTTTTAAATGACATTCTAAACATTGTATGTTCAAACCCTGGCATGTGCAAAGGAGTACTGCCTCTATTTCATCAAATCCATCATTTTACATTTCAATTGAGAATTATAAATTGTTTGTCCACAATCCAAATGGGAAATACTATTGGTTCTTAAAATTTCTTTGAAGCTACTGACAAGGGCAAGGAAGCTATTCCAATATTAATCAATAGCAGCATGCTCTCAGAGTTGAGATGCAGGGACCAGAAGATATTTACCATAGGGATGAGAAGAGGGAAACGCAAGTAAAACTGATTTTATATAGATAGAGAGTTGATAAGCAGGGACCAGATGATATTTACAATAGAGATGAGATCCAGGAATGCAAATAAAATCGATTTTATTTTTTTTATAAGGAATAGCTTAAGAACCAATTACATATACAGCATCCCAAGATTCTCTGTGGACAAAACAACATTGTCTTGCAGCATAGTGATTAAACGTTAAATGAAAAGCATTCCAGTTCTTTACTTGCCAAAATGGTCAACAGAATATGTGTTTTCCAAATTGAGAAACCATGAAAGGCAAGTTACATACTCTGCTAAGAAATTTTTCTAATTTTGAAATACTGGCAACAAGCTGTCCAAGAAGATGGCTGAATGTACTAAACAACAACCTTTCATGAAGTCAAAAAGCCATTCGACGTGATTACCTCTACTTGTTGCGTTTAGCAGCACGTCTTCCTTGGCCTTTCTTAGGTGGTCCCTTACCACGCCTCTTCAACATTTCAAGCTTGGATAAGCGTTCTTGTTCTTGTCGGGCCACGACAAGCGGATCATCATTCTTGATGTCATATGGGTACCAATCTGCAACCTTCTCACCAATGAGCTTTTTGCGTAAAGTCTTATGGGGTGATCTCTGCCCTGTTGGGTTAAGTATATGTCCAAATATTCTAGCTCTAGCTTCAGTAACCCCAGCTACAACAGCCGAAGCCAACATGCTCTTCAAACCACCACCACTCATCCTCTGCGAAATTCCGTTATTATTATCTCTATCAATTCTGTTAAATGTTCAAATGAAACTTTCAGCGATAGCATACCAAGAAATCAAAAACATTTTACAAAACAAAATGCTGGACATCTCACTCAGAACTCAACCTAAATAACAGATTTAGATCAGAAATGTGTGAAAAAACATTGCTCTGAAATTTTAGGCCATGTCATTCCCATTTTCAATAGGGAGAAGAAAATAAAACATTTAAAGAGGAAAGGATTAAGCTTAATCCTAAACTTGAAAACCATTTTTACTAGAATCTAATTTTCTATCACCTGTCTTAGGAATCCAAGAAATGGGCATATTCAACTAAGCTGATTCTTAAGTAATTTCCTGCTAAACAGCGTAAACTCAAATTCAAATAATAAAATGAAACCAAAGAAACTGAATTATTTACTATAATTTTCAATATTGGCTCATAAGGATTCATACCGTGGTTTGTTTCAATGAGTAGCGATGGCTTCCTAGGAAGAGCAGTAGCAGAGTAGGGTTTCCCTGCTTTGAGGGAGAGGTTTAACGGGTTTATACAAAAAAAGAGAGTGAGCTGTTTACTGAAACTTGGGCCGGCCATGTTCGTTAAATTTGAACCCAATAACGACTCTGGATCGACAATAAAATTTGGGCCATGCAAAGGTCGATCAGTGGCAGTCTCTCTTCTCTTAAATGTTGCTTGCTTTCAAGTTTTATCCCCTGGGCAAGAATTAATTTTTAAAAAAAATAAACCCCAACTATAATTTTTTACTTAATATGTTATGCATTTTTTTTTCTAATTAGTCCCTTGTAGATAAGTTCTGATTTCAAAAGACAATTAATCATTTAGTATAAATTAACTAATTAATTTTTAAATTAAAAAATATTTTAATAAGTTTAAGGCACAGACATTGAGGTCTCATTGCCCACCAGCCTGTCTCATGGGAATGCTGCTTCTTGCCCTTTAAAAAATTAAAAAAAAATGGGAATTTATTGGGACTGTTTGTCATATAAAAATTCAACATGGAATCACTCATCAGTCCCAAGAAGTTATTAAAAATTTTGTTATATCTTCATTTGACCAGAATCATTACAAAATATTAGACTTAAAGGTCCGGTACTATTAAATATTTTTATTAATATTTTTAGTATTTTTTACAGTATTTTGATTAATTTGATTGTATTATATAAATTTTTAATAATATTATAAATAAAATATATTTATAAATATTACATTCATTAATAAAGAGTTACTCTTTTAATATTACAACTAAATAGGAAAAAGGTGTAATTAAAAATTTAAATAATTGTTTTTTTAAGATTTTACTATTTGAAAAATATATTATCTAAAAAATGTAATTCAAATCAAAATTTGTTACAGTGAGTAATCCTTATAAACTTTCAATTTCGTAATATGTGATAAATTAAAATTTAATCTAATAGTATTATCCTCAATTTCTTTCATGCTCCTTTAATTTTGTTTCATTTTTTTAACTTTTTATTTTTATAGATCAAAAGACAACCATGTTGGATTAATGATTTCCATATAATTTTTTATTCAAATTAAATATTTAAAATTGCATTATAAGTTTTGATCAATGTAAGTGAAATAGATAAAATAAATTATTTGTGAATTATTTTTATAATTAAATAAAAATTTTTGTAAGTACTTGACTAACTAGATGTACAATTCCTAAACAAATCATTTAAAACTTTTGAAAATATTTAATCTCATATTATTTTAGAACTTAGCATCGTTGAGAACACAATCAATCAAACATGATAAAGGAAAATTGTGGGGAGAGATGGACATTGAGGAGCCCTAGTATAAGTAGTCTAGTATAACATGATAATGTGATAAATTAATAAATTACATCTTATATAAGAAGATAATTTTTAAAATTAATATTTATCCGATAATATTGTTTTACCTATTACCAAGGGGTCGGTAATAGCTATTTCTTCTTCATGTATGGGTACAAGGCTCTAGTAGTATATTTATATAATCTTTGAAACAAATGCAAAAATATAATTAACTCATCATTTAAAAATAATAATCCGTACTAACAAAAACACAACGCCATACCTAGTACCTACTAATTAACTATAAGAAAAGGTATTTGTGTATTATGAAGCTTAAATCTTTACAATGTTATACATATCTATATATACAGATTTGTGCTGATCAAAAAATTATGGTGAAGATTTGAGAAGTAGATTTCATAGAGGCAAATTCTTGTTTAACATATTTTGGTAGATTTCATGTTTGAAGGCATTGATTTTGTGATTTACATTGATGTTGGAAAATCTGGTGAGTTAATGTTGTGCTATTACTTCTTATCTTTTCTTTTGTTGTCCTTTATATCCCCCCACAAGATGGTGGAGCCATTGGTGACACCAATCTTGGACCTTAAGTAGAAAAACCCTTGCTTAGCCAGAGGCCTAGTGAGTCCATCTGCAAGTTTATCATTTGTTGGAATGTAAGAGACCTTAAGCTATCCATTTTGAACATGTTGGCATACAAAGTGGTAATCAAGAGTTAGATGCTTCATTCTTGAGTAAAACACAGGATTGGAACTTAAGTATGTAGCTCGAATGTTGTCACAGTGCAAGATTGGTGTGGAGGAAGAAGAGACACGCAGTTCATTGAAAAGATTCTTGATCTAGATTAGTTCTATAGTGGTGTTGGCAATAGCTTTGCATTTAGCTTCTGTGGAGGATCTTACCACTAATCTTTGCTTGGATGATTTCCAAGATACAGGATTACTTCCAAGATATATTATGTAGGCAGTAGTGGAGGTTCGATCATCAAAGATTTCCAATCCAATCAAAGTCATTGATGGCAAAAATTTTTAGAGATAATTGTTTGTTTAAGTGCAGCCCATGATGAATGGTGCCTTTCAAATATCTTAAAATTCTTTTGAGACTTGACTAGTGAGTAAGAGTTGGTGAATACATGAATTGAGATAATTTGTTGATGGTATAAGTGATGTCAGGTCTAGTCAATGAGAGGTATTGAAGAGAACCAATGAGCTTTCTATAATCTAATGCATCAACTAAACTAGTTCCATCTTTAAGTTGCAGCTTGATATTGGTAGCCATTGGTGTGGCAACTTCCTTGGCATTGTCCATTTTAAATTTTTACGGTAGTTCTCTTGTATACTTGTGTTAAGATAGGAACATGCCTGTAGGTGTTATGGTTACCTCCACTCCCAAAAAAAATTTAAAAGTTCAAGATCTTTCAAAGAAACAAAAATCATAGGAGAAACATTAAATAAGAATGGCTCATTTATCAACACATGGTTAAATGTAACCAATGCATATAAACTGTTCCAAGTTCTTAAATATTAATAACTCTATCTCAAACCATCAAATTGCAGCTCATTTTTCTATTCCATGATCATCTTTGGTAATATCCGAAATCAGCCATCAATAGATAAATTTGTTTATTGTCTCTAAATAGAAGAATAACAACCACCCATGACGATGAGCATCATACCTTTGATTGACAGAGTTATCATGCCACAACTTGCAATGCAATAAATATCTTACAATAGCCATCATAATCATCCGTTTATGTTGGTAGAAAATATGGAAAGAGAAAAGCTAGCAATTCCCCAAAGGAAAACACAACGTTGTTAACTCAATATTGTTTGCACCTACCACACTAAAAATAATTAACTATCAACTTAAATATAGAAAACACAATAATAACAAAGAAAATAAGAAATTATTGTTTAAACAAAATTATACTCATTGTTGCATTCTTTTTAACAAATTAAAAAGTAAAAGAGAGAGAGTTACCAACCATTAAAGGCAATGCATTTCATAATCCATGCTCCAAATACTTTTCTATAACTTTAAAAAAATCTCTTTGCAATGGATCTTCTACCAGAAACTCTTTTTTTTTTATCACATTGATCAGTAGAAAATCCAAAATAAACAAAAAGGAAAAAAAAAAGAGAAAAAGCCCTAAAGAGAGAAAACATCTTACAAATAATTATGGCATTCATCTTCCCTTCTCATTCTTTTGCTTAACGCCAGTGATAGACCCAAAGAGAAATAAGAAAGTGTTTTTGAAAAGTGCAATATTTCATTGTTTGCATTTAGATGAACATGCAAGAATTTTTGTAGTAAATAACGATTTAAAAAATTAAAATAGTGAAAATCAACAAAAAAAGGATCCATTAAATAAATACTTAAGTAATTACCTTTTAAAACCCAAACAATATATTGAAGAACAAAATTGCAGAGTCCATCAATGAGAGCGGAGAGGAGATCATGAAGAAATTAGAAGAAGAAAACATTCAAGAACTTTCAAAGAATAACAAAAGAGATAGGGGAAAATGAAGAAAATATTAGGAAGCAAGGAGGAGAAAAGAACATAAGATTATGGAGAAAAGGAAAAGTAAAACCCCAAAAACACACTTGTGTTTCAAATAAAAATAAAAAACATGCTTACCTTCTATCTAAATTATCAAAATATATCAATTCATGTCTACAAGTCCGAAATACCCTCCAAACATGTTAAAGTACCAAGGATAGATGTAAGTATAGAAGGGATATATAGATAATATTCAATATACTTTAAATTAGGATAAAATACCCTAACACCCTTAAGTTTTGATCGAAATTATATGGAGATTTATTACTTTCATGTCTAGCAAAAAATATTTTTTTTGGGTGGAGTGTCCATCTCGAAAACTAATAAATTTCTGTGTAATTTCAATCAAAATTTAAAGAGATCAGAGTATTTTATCTTTTAAATTATATATTAAATATATTAAAATATTATATATATAATTCAATTTAAAAAATTACTATCCATGAGCTAGGTCTTATCGAACATAAACTCGTTAGTTTTAAAAACAACACTTGTTTATCTCACTTAAGAGAGGAACTTATGATAAAATTCTATTATTCAAACCAATATTTGTTCAAAGTTTACATTAAAGTTTAAATACTAAAAATAAACTCATTTTGTTTATATTTTCCTTTTCCCCTCATTTGTTTAGTTTCATAAGTTTCTTTATCACTCAATCTTTTTTTTTTCAAATCAATGGTAATTGAGTTATTTAAGTAAAGGTATTTAATTTGTATAATTGAATAAAAATAATTTTAAAATAGTTTATATGTGATTGAGTTAGAATATAAATTAATTAAAATTTAATTTGATAGTAATTAAATATAATTTTAATAGATGGGTGTAGGTTTTGAAGAAAATGTTGAAAATGTTGAAAAAAAAATTATTATAACAGAAAAAAGAAAAGAGAAAAACCCAAAAATAAATAATTAACAGATAGTAAGTTTTTAACAAGACATACCAAAAAAGAAGTTTGAAACTTTAACTTGAAAATATTGGGTTCAAATCTTAAAAAGAAAGGGTAAGGTATATACATTTTGTGTAGTAAAAAATCATATATCCAAAAAAATTTTAATTAATTGAACTCTAATTAAAATATATTTTGGAATCTGTTCTTCATGGATAATACGATATGTGGTTAAATTTGCAATTAAATTTTTTCTAATGTTAATAAAATTTAAACGTTTAAGATTTAGTAAATATAGACAAAAATTGACAAAAAAAAATGTATATTGACCTAAGAAACTCCATTGTCACCCTCATAGCCAATAAATGTTCATATCTAAAGAAACACTTCTCTCATCTTCATGGTCTTGTTATTTCCCAAGTGTAAATTAATGGTCAAAATCTTTTCAATTTGTTTCAGTTTTATGTTAATTTTAATGTGATTTTTCCTTTCTTGTTTCTTAGTGGTTTATTTAGTTGATTTAGTTTTAGGTTTTTGGTGCCCCAAAGTATAAGTATCTATAAATGCTGTTTTTTTTGCCTTTTAGATGCCTAGTCTAATAATCCATTTCATTTGAAGATGAATTTTGCTCAAGCTTAGTCCAAATAAAAATTAAACATAATATTTGAAAAAACTTTTAAATTATTTAAAAAATCAAATAATAATTTATTTTTTATTATATTAAATAAAATTATTATATTTTTATTTTAAATTAAATAAAAACTAAAAATTAATTAATTATCATCAATCAAAATCATTTATTATTTTATATTTGAAATAAAAAGTAAAAAATATCATACCATATTATCATCGTTATGACATAAATATATATCTGATCAAAATTACATAATAATTTGTATTTTAATTAACAACAGATAATCAATTATTAATTATAAAATTTATTTAATTTAAAATAAAATTATAAAAATTTAATTAAATATAATAAAATTACTTTTATTTAAATGTTTTTATAATATTATTTAAAAAAGTTGAGCACAATTGCGGCAGTTGATTTTGTCTTATACATGCAGAGGTCAAAAGATTTAATACAAGTCGCTCATCTTCTCCTAACTGCACAGCCGTGTCCAACTTTTGCTCCCAGCATCTTTTGCTTTCTGCCCAAGCTTTCTAAAGGACAGAAAAATAAAACATATAAACAATTAAGAATTTTGGCAGTTTCTCTTAAATATTAGTATTTTTTCAACATTGAAACATAAGAATCTGGGCATTCACATGAATTGATGATGTGTACTGCGACAACTTAAGATGTTTTTAATAACCTAAACAACCTAAACTTGTTAATTATTTATTTAAATTGAAAATTTGTATTTACATTGACAGCCAATCATGGTATTATATATCAAAACTTTTTTGTAATAACATAAGGAACGTACTTGTAAAATTTTTGCTAAAAAATTTAAACAAATAGAAGTCAATTTCCTGAAGCAATGGGTAAATGCAACTTCTGCTATGCTGAATAAAATAAAATAATTATTATATATTTTAGATTATTAAATAGAATAGGTAAAAAATTATTATTATAATTTATTTTAATATTCTATAGGTAAGAATATTTTTGAAATAATTAAGAAATAAATAATAATGATAAAATTATTTTTTATTATAATAAAATTTATTTTTTAAAAAAATAAAAAAAATTATTTTTATTAAATATCAGTAATTTATTATTAAATTATTAATATAGATTTTAATATTTCTAATAATTCTTTTTTTTGACTACTTAATTTTATAAAATTATTGCTGTAGTCATCCAATTTAAAAAATAAAAATTTAAAAGAACAAATTAAAAAAAATAAAATTAAGCGATAAAAGTAACTCATTTGGATGGTCACAGTGTTGTCCTCACGTAAATAATTTATCCTCCGACAATGATTACTTCTGAGGCTCTGACTGAACATAAAACCTTGGACCTGTAATTACTTCAACACCCCCAGTCAACTACGCTGACGAACAAACAAAGCATTAGGGTCTTAGGGGTAAGTCCAGTCATTTAAAAAGACTTAAGTGCTACAATCATTATGAACGCTTGCTAGTTTCAGTGGAACATCCCATCTTCTCTCTCACTGGAAACAATATGGAGAGAGAAGACCAAAAGCAGTCTGTAACTTCACCTTTGATTCGGATATCCGGCGAAACTGATGATTTGACGCTGAGCAACGAACAGAAATCAAGCAATGGAAGTGATACAAGGAAGAACATTTTTGAGGAAGTGAAGAAACAGCTATGGCTAGCAGGGCCTCTAATAGCTGTGAACCTGTTGCAGTATTGTATACAGATGATATCAGTGATGTTCGTTGGGCATCTTGGTGAACTAGCTCTGTCTGGTGCTGCCATGGCTACTTCTTTTGCAACAGTTACTGGTTTCAGCTTGCTGGTCAGTTTAGTTTATATCCCTTTCTCTGTTATTATTTAGCTTTTCTTCTTGGTTTGTTTGAGAAGATGAAGGGAATATGTGCATAATACATGGCAACTTGGCAAGTGATATCTATGTGTACGTGTTCATGTGAATGCATGTGCATTTGTCCTGTTTTGGCCTCAATCTTAGGGTCAGGTTCTAGTCTTTTTGATCCATGAGCTACTTCTTTTAGTACAAAACTACATGCGAAATAAAACTTTAAATATAATCTCCAAATCCTTAATTATATAAGAAAGATGGACGAATGAATGATGTGTTTGTATTTGATTTTTTATGTAATTTTGGATATATAGAATAGCCTATTATATGATAATTTGATCCAACCTTAGTTCAAATAGAGAAGAATATGAATTGGATATATCCTATCCTTTCCCCAATTTCAACACCTTCATTGCGTGTTTTTCCTTGTTTGTATTTTGTTTCCTTAAATTTTTAGAAAGTAAAAACAATAGAAAAGATCATTATATTAAAATTAAGAAAAATAAGAAAATATACTGCCAATTAAATTTAATTTTTTCCTATAAAAATGAAATTATATATTTAGTTATTCATAAAATTGCAATTTTGATTTTTAATTTTTTTAAAAAATATTGCTACTTTGTCTACTTCTTAAAACAAAGAATTTAGTGCTGTCTTGGATGCATATTCTCAAACCTTTTAACCACATAAACCATTTAATAAAATCCACAAATCATGTTTGTGGCTGAAAAGTGGAGAGCATCATTTGGGGTGTGTAAAGAAATTAAAACAACTATCCCCTTCCCTAACTTGGTTAATTTATATTTGTTTGTTGCTTTCACTCATAAACCGCCTCACTTGATTGAAAAATAGTACATTTTTCTTGTTTTGACATATATAGTGCTCACTGCTTAACTCATCCAGATCCTATAAATAGCATCCATTACTATTTGGAAAGAACAAAGTTGCCATTTGCCAATATATTATCATCACATATGATTCCAATAAAAATACAAATAATTTTTTTTAAAAAAAAATAACAAACTTGCTTTAAGAAATAATATGCTAAAAACTAGCATCCAACAAGAACACTAAGATTTATGTGGTTTCACACAAAGCCTACATCCATGAAAAGACACAAAGAAATTTCCACCATAATCAATATAAAATGAAGACTACAATGTTTTTAAATCCAAAAGCTTCACATGCCCCAAAACTCGTGACCTACTTTTCTGCTATCAAACCTCACCAATACGTGCTTCTAGCTCAAATAAAATCTCACCCCAAATTCCCTTTTTGTATTTCAAACTTCTTCTCCTTCCCAAATTGCCATTAAGGCAAACAAACCAAGCATTAAGGTAGTAAGAGTAAAATGGGAAATGCAAGGAGACAACAAATCAAGATGGTGGGACTGATGCTTTTGACACTGATGGGTTGGATTTATGTAGCTAACTCACATTAATTAAATTTCCACCTTGGTCAAGTTTCCAATCAAGTACAATGAACACTAACCAAGTCCAAATTATGCTAGAACTTGAGCAAGCAAATTACCACAAAGTCTGAATTCATTTTGAAACTAACTACCACAACAACAGTTTCTTGAAAACCAAACTAATATTCATGTGCAACCCAATTGATCTCCGGAGGTACTTTAGAGAAATTGGAAATTACCTCCCAGGCCACAATCTGTCTGAGGCCAACTGCAACCAATCAATGATTGTCACAGTAGCATCTCATAAAAAATTATTGTTCGAACCTAGCCAACAAACAGAATAAGAAAATATTTGTTTATTAATAAATCTGTTTAAGGAATGCTGTCCAAAGTAGCTCTACCCTCTTCATAGCCAGAATGTCAACATAAATATTTGGTTTTTGCCTCTTAAATTCTATTTGAAGAAAGGGATTCATAATGTCAAGGAGTTTGATGGTGGTACGTAGCTCTATATTTGCATTCACTTGTTATTTGTATTTGTACTAACATTAATTCCCCAATATTTTATTTCAAATGAGTACTAACAAGGTGGATAGGGTGAAATTGTGCACTCCTTTCTATTGGGGTTCGACGGACCATCCTTTTTGGTCAGATGATAATATCTAATCTTGATTTGTCGTATACCAATAAAAGCATGCTTTTAGTTTTAGGAAAAAACTATGCAACATAAAGTGTAAACCATTCTGATTTGTTTATGGGAAATGCTTAGGATCCTATAAGATGCCAAAAGTTTGAGTTTTTTTGTTCAATTAGAAATGCTTGATTAGTGTGTGACTCAACTCTTCTAGGATTCTCACAAAAAATAAATAAATAAAATAAAATTCTGATGACATTCAACAAATGTGGAGGACCATGATGTTCTTTAGCGTCTCCATATATATGGTTGCTTGAAGTTGAGATAGATCCTTAAAAATGTTCAAGAAAAAGCTTCCTTTGCTTTATCTGTTTCTTGTATTGTAACCTGATCTATCTGGAATTTGTTCAGCACTGATTTTGACTACTAACTCTATTTTTCACCCCTAAAAGCTCAAAGAGATTAGTAGGGTAGGTTTTGCTGTATCATGTTATTTATAATGATCTCTTCCGGCCATTTAGTGGCATATGCAGAAATAAAATTTCAAGAAGCTTCATAAATAATGATTGCAAAAAGACTATTTGAAGTTAGGCTTATTCTGGTAGTTGGAGCAGGGAAAAAAAAAGATACTAATGTTGTTGTAAGACGTTTTCATTTACTATCTAAGCAAATTCTAGTTCTCTAATGGATTTGCAGCCAATAGTTCATTGTGTAATATTTCTTCTGTTTGCCAACATATGGGGTTTTATGAGAAAAAATTGGAAATTGGAATTCTTAGTTCAACGCCAGATTATTCTTAGATTTTTTTTATATGGTTTTGGTCCCGACTCCTAACTTGTAGGGTATTCTTAGGTTTTTTAGGTGTATGGTAGACCCTTACAATTTGAATTCTCAACATATTTTGACTGTTAATTTTTATTTTGTGTTTCTTTTGCATAGATGGGGATGGCAGCTGCACTGGATACTCTTTGCGGACAGTCATATGGGGCAAAGCAGCATTCTATGCTGGGCATACACATGCAAAGAGCCATGATTGTTCTTGAAATTGTGAGCATACCCCTTGCAATTATATGGGTAAACACAAGACCAATTCTAGTTCTTCTTGGTCAAGATCATGACATATCAAAGGAAGCAGGAGAGTATGCCTGTTTCATGGTTCCGAGCCTTTTTGCATATGGTCTTCTTCAATGTCTAGTCAAATTCTTGCAAACTCAAAACATTGTATTCCCAATGATGATATGCTCTGGAATTACAACTTTACTGCACATTCTTGTTTGTTGGATCATGGTTTTCAAATCTGGCCTTGGATCTAGAGGAGCTGCCTTGGCGAATGCAATCTCCAGTTGGATAAATGTGTTCTTGTTGGTGTTATATGTTAAGTTCTCTCCTGCATGTGCAAAGACTTGGGCAGGATTTTCAAAGGAGGCCTTTCGCAATATTTTCTCTTTTCTTCGACTTGCTATTCCATCAGCTATTATGGTCTGGTAATTGCTCTCCTTTCTTTTTTTCCTAATACAAGTATGTATAGGCTAAGAAATGAAGTGAATTTCTTTCAATCACTATATTGCTATGAATCCAATCACAAAGAAGTTCACTTTTAATAAACTAGAAAGTAGAATGGTATCAATTAGCTTGTGCATGGTTATACTTACTAATTTCATCACATACTTATCTGTAATTTGCCATGACTCTAAATAGCTTGGAGATGTGGTCGTTTGAAATGATGGTTCTGCTATCAGGTCTTCTTCCTAATCCAGTGTTACAAACTTCAGTGCTCTCTATTTGGTTTGTTCTGAACTTCCAATAGCTATTTTCACTAACAATTTGTTGAACATTTTAAATGTTTAGTGTTTCTTATCAATGTAAAATATATACCTTATCCAACATTTTGGTTTCCAGCCTTAACACTGCTTCTACAGTTTGGATGATACCCTTTGGACTCAGTTGTGCAGCAAGGTGAGGCATGCTAATAACAATTTTCCTTTTCTTGTAATATTTACTCAATTTTGATCAGAAACAAAAAAAATTGAGGGATTACATTTATCTTTCAAATATTCACTAATTTTTCCTTATTGAGTTTGATGTTTTGTACAGCACTCGGGTCTCAAATGAATTAGGAGCAGGGCATCCAGAAGCAGCACGTTTAGCTGTATATGTTGTGATAGTCATGGCCATTTCTGAGGGCCTTTTGGTGGGATCAATCTTGATATTGATTCGCAACATCTGGGGCTATGCTTATAGCAATGAAGTAGAAGTAATTAAGTATGTAGCAGCCATGATGCCAATTCTAGCAATTTCAAACTTTTTAGATGGCATCCAGAGTGTTCTCTCAGGTTTTCCCCTTTTCTTACATCACTTTGAACTTTTTAGTTTCTGAGACTGAGGAAATTTAAACTAATCTTCCATGAACTATAATAGGTGGTGGGTGCGGATGACAGCACTTAATGATGATTAAAGTATGGTTCTTTGATATGCACATTCATGTTTGTACTACTGATCAGAAAGAGTACTTTAATCTGTTTCATACTCCGGTTTCCAGCATCCATTTCAGTCATCAAGGAATTGCCTTTTTATGAATGGAATGAGATTCACAAAACATGTAATTCTGACTCCCTACTACTTAGGACACTAGTATTCTCCCTAATATGATTTCCCGTTACGTCAGACGTCAGAACATGAATAGAACTTAGCTAACTTATAGTATTCTCTAAATATTTTCCATTTGTTTTTTAACTGATTTTCACTCTCCATGTCTTGCAGCTTATCAGTTAGTATTCGTTTGATATTTCAGGCATTGCTAGAGGATGTGGATGGCAGAAGATTGGAGCATATGTCAATCTTGGATCTTATTATTTAGTGGGGATTCCATGTGCTATTTTGTTAGGTTTCGTCCTTGATGTTCGTGGAAGGGTAAAATCACCATATTTTCTTCTTTTTTTTTGTGGTTTAAATGGCTTGCTTCATTTATTTTTTGGTAGTTTACTTAATAGCAAGCAGGAACCGAAGTGATTTTCTTGTATTCTGATGTCTTCGAGCTATCATATATGTTCTTTGGTGTATAGGGTCTCTGGCTGGGAATCATATGTGCACTTATTGTCCAAGTAACTTCTCTTAGTATTATTACAATACGAACTAACTGGCAACAAGAGGTAAGATAATTCCATCTCTTTCAATAATTTAGTCATCATCCTTGATCTTTGCTATACTTTTTGACACAATTTTACAAGAGATTGACTTTTCACCGCTTTGTTCAGGCAAGCAAAGCTGTGGAGAGAGTCTATGATTATGTGATTCCGGTGGAAGTTGTGTCATGAAGGTTATTTTTCATCTCATCCAAGGAGAAACTTAATGTTTCACCTAAAAATTGTAGGTGCTGGAGCTACATACTTTCTACATATGTTTAAGGACTTAATTCTGTTTGAATCTATTTTAAGAATGCCGGAAGTTGCTTTATAGGAATTAAATAAGGAACGTACTTGTAAAATTTTTGCTAAAAAATTTAAACAAATAGAAGTCAATTTCCTGAAGCAATGGGTAAATGCAAATTCTGCTATGATACAGAAACAGAGGAAGTTGCAGGCCATGGTTAGGGAGGGAAGGGACCCAAGTCCCCTCCCACCCTAATCATTGAGCTAAACCCATGCGCCTATATCATGTTTAAAGGTTCCTCTTATTTATTTCAAAACTGATAACTCAAATATTAGAATGTGGAATAAGGAGATTCAATGTACAAAACATGCCCTTAGTAAATCGAACGAGAAAGTCGATTTGATTTCTGTCGTTGATAGATTGAGGCGAGGATATTATCAAGGAATAGCTATTTCAACTCACTTGGAATAGTTATTATTAAAAAGAGATCACCATTAATTATTTTGGCTTCTCTCGAAATGATCATTTTGAAAAGAGAAAATCATTACTTATTTTGGCTTCTCTCAAAATGATCATTATATGAATCAAACAAGTATAAAGAGAGAATGGAATAGTTGCAAGGAAGCAATTTAACTTTTAATATTGCCTATATTAAATGGCTTGGAATCATGGTCATTTCAACTAGTAGAGTTTCTCTGTAGATCTTCTTCCTAAACATCTGTGATTAGGATATGGTAAGTGTTGGAGTTAGATTTGTCAAATTCTTTTACTAAATAAGTATACTTGAGTTTTGTTAAATTTTGGTGTTTTAAGTATACATGGTCAATACTATTAGATTGATTCTCTCCTAATTTATCAAAAATCTATATATATATATACACACACACACCCCCTTCACCTTCATACAATTCATAATTCAGAATACTAGTCACTAGATTGTCGTAATCCATTTATGGAAGAGCAATCCGGTGTAATCTTATTGCTTGAAGCTGCCAAAAGATTGCCATGCTCGCCCCTACACCAGTTTGGGTAACATTGAATTCACTTCACTTTTCAATCACCAAATCACAACACCATCACTGGGAGCTGCCCTATCTGTACTTTTTACTCTATTCTATTACATAAACTAAACTACCTAATAATCATTTTATTCTATTTCTATAAAATAATTGTTTTATTTAATTCCACAAACGGAGCATGCCATGAATTGCTTACAATGATGTGTTTCATAAGTACATCAAATATATTAAGATTGATTATTATTTTATGCATTATCATATTATTTAAAAAATTGTCAATACGACTCATGTTTTTTCAAATTAAATCGTTAATATTTTTACCGAAATACATCTTCGTGGACAATTTCAAGACTTGGTTTCCAAACTCAAGTTGGCATACACTAGACAACATTGTGTTTGAGGAAGTGTTGACATAATAATCGCAATTACGCCTATTATAAGCAAAACTAATGAGATTCTATTAGATTATAATTATTCACTTTGTATAATGCACATATTTTTCTTTCGCCGACCATAATAATTTCGAAGTTTTAAGAGTTGTGCATCGAATTTCTTTAAGTTCTAAGTTTTTTAATTTTCTTTTTTATGGGAAAAAATATATTAGAGGTATCCTCTTTTGAGTGCCTAATTTTGTTGCTTACTATATTAAAGAGTCACTTGAAGTCAAAGTTGTACACGTGGCAATTCCTTGTCTTGTAACATGCCTGGTGTAGTCCTATTCCTGCCTGTTTCTCAGGGTATTTTGGTACTGATATTGATGCCCAACATCTGGGTTTATGCTGATATCATGATACGTATAAGGCATCAAAAAGTCCAGATTATTGCAAATAAAAAAAAAGAAAAAAATTGGAGGCCTACGTTATCATGGCCGAACTTGAGAACCTAATTGGTTCACTGGTGCTTAATCCACGGTGCTGACAGCAGCTTGAGACGAGAGGGAAACAGACAGGGACAAAGAAATAAGAAATATTCTTTGGGCCATTTCGTAATTATGATGTGATTCCCTGTGTTGTCCTCATGTAAATAATTATCATTTCGGACAATGATTGTTTCTCAGGCTCTGACTGAACATCATGTCGGAAAAATTCGTTAACACCCCCAAGTTATCGATGCTGGCATACAAACAAAGCATTAGGCTCATAGGGGTAAGTCCAGTCCTTTAAAAATTTAACCCGCATCCCATCTTCTCTGTGACTGGGGAAGAATATGGAGAGAGAAGACCAAAAGTTGTCTCTAACTTCATCTTTGATTCGGATATCGCGGAAAAATGATGATTCTACACAGAGCAACAGACAGAGATCAAGCAGTGATAATGATAGAAGAAAGAAAATTTTTGAGGAATCGAAGAAACAGCTATGGCTAGCAGGGCCTCTAGTAGCCGTGACTCTGTTGCAGTATTCTATACAGATGATATCACTGATGTTCGTTGGCCATCTTGGTGAGCTGGCTCTGGCTGGGGCGTCAATGGCTACTTCCTTTGCAGCAGTTGCTGGTTTCAGCTTGCTGGTCAGTTTCGTTTATATCCCTTTCTCTGTTATTATTTTGTTTTCTGCTTGGTTTGTTTGAGAAAATGAAGGGATTTGTGCATACAAGGCAACTTGGTCAGTGATATCTATGTGTATCTGTTCATATGTATGCATGTGCATTTGTCCTGCTTTGGCCTTAATCTTAGGGTCAGGCTCTTGTCTTTTTGATCCACAAGCTGCATTTTTAAGTACAAAACTACATGTGAAATAAAACTTTAAATATAGTCTCCAAAACCTTATTTATTTAAGAAAGATGACTGAATGAATAATGTCTTAATATTTGTTGTTATATATTTAATCATAATATTTATTCTATTTTTATTGTAGTTTTATCAATTAACTTGGTGTTTTCTAACTTGTTATTAAATTCAATTTCAGCATTATGTTATATAATTCTTTACTCATATAAATATCTGTGAAATAGAAACTATAGGGGACAAAGAGAGAAGGGAATGGAAGGCAAGGGAGAAAGGTCCTTTCTTAATTAATCATTGCCAAATTAATAACTTAAATCATAAGAGACTTGAGCTATATATGACACCTTTAAAAACCAGATTTACCATATTCTATATATTACAATTTGAGATTCAAATCGATGCAGGGATTCAATTTTGGATATATAGAATACCCTATTATATGATAATTTGAACTAACCTTAGTTCAATCAAATAGAGAAGAACATGAATACAATATATCCTATCCTTTTACTTTTCATCATCCTATAGTATTTGGAAAGAATGAAGTTTCGATTTGCCAATATATTATCATGACATATGATTCCAAGAAAATTGCAAGACCACTCAAACATGTCAATATTATGCAAAAAATTGAAAAATAAAATAAAATCTCACCCGGAATTCCCTTTTAGTGTTTCAAACTTTTTCTTTTTAAGGCAAGAAACCAAATATTAAGGGAGTGAGAGTAAAAGGGGAACCGCAAGGTGATAACAAAGGAATATGGCAGACTACATTAGATGGTGGGGCTTTTGACACCAATGGGTTGAATTTAGTGAACCATTGCTCAAGTGATTTTCTCCACATCGCAGCCAAACGAGGTTTAACTAAGGTACGAAGCCGCACCTTTGGAATCAAGGCGTCAGTCCCATGACCTTAAATGCAACCCTTCGTCATCATTTATTATTCCCTTGCACTTCCTTTTCGCTGTTGATCCTGATATTTGGCATTTTGCCCCTTAAGGGTAGTTTGTGAAGGAGGAGGACGGGTTTGAAATATAGAAAGGAAATTTGGGTGAGATTTTATTTGAGCCAAAGACCATCTTGGTTCCTAGGGCAGAGGGAGAAAGAGTGTTATTGGTGAGTTTTGTGGTTTCGTGGGGTGGCGCTTTTGAGTGTGTTTTGGTTCTAAACATGCAATCTTCATGTGTTTTTAAATTTTTTTTTTCATTGTCCGGTGGATATAAGCTTTGTGTTGAACCACATAAATCTTGTATTTTTGTTGCTGCTTGTTTTTTGCATTATGGTGAATTTACTTGCGTCATGTAGACTTGTTTGGATCGGTGTTACAACATGAAAAATGAACTTGTAAAGAGCTCTAATATGGAAAATGATATTTTTTTTGGAACAAGTGATATTGGGCTACATACCCTGTCCATCTCAATATTCAAACTCGAACCTTTCAAGACAAAATCTTAAGCTCTAACCGTTTGGGTATCTCTTTGGAGACCTAATGTAAAAATGATTAATCCAACCTAGCGAACATAAAGAATAAGAAAATGTTTGCTTATTAATCTGTATGCAGAATGTTGTCCTAATTAGTTATACCACTGGCTCCATTCTCTTCATAGCCAGAATGTCAATAAAAATATTTGATTTTTTCCTCCTAAATTCTGGTTCATCCATTTAGAAGCAAGGGACTAATAATGCTAAGGAGTTTGATATTGGTACCTAGCTCTATATTTGTATGCACTAGTCATTTGTATTTGTACCAACATCAATTCATAGATTTTTTATTCCAAATGAGTAATAGCAAGGCGGATAGGGTGAGATTGTGCACTCTTTTCCATTGGGGTTCAAGGAACACCTATCCTTTATGGTCAGACAATAATATCTAATCTTGATTTGTCATATACCAATAAAAACTCACATTTAAGTTTAGGAAAAAAAATTGTAATATAAAGGATAAACCATTCTGACTTGTATATGGGAAATGCTTAGGATTCTATAAGATGCCAAAAGTTTGAGTTTTTTTTTTTACTACTAGCACTCTTTTTCACTGCTCCAAGCTCAAAGAGATGAGTAGGGCTTGTTTTGCTGTATCATGTCATTTATGATGACCTCTTCCAGCCATTTGTTAGTGTTGGGAGGAAAAACAAAAAAGCTTTTTATTCTCAATCATAAAAAAATTATTTACAGCAGACTATATATATATATATATATATATATATATATATATCCATGTTAGCCCTAAAACAAGAAGTTATCACAAATATAGAAAGCATAATATTAAGCCATAATAATCAGACACTGTTGTGAAAATTGCCCAAGAAACAACAAAGATAAAATCCAGAGAAATCAAGCAAACAGAAA